AATCAGCCCGGGATGCTCGCGGCCGGGGGGCGGGGCGCGGGTCACGGGGAAGCCTGGGCGGGGTCGGGAGCCCTCGAGGTACAGATCCTGCTAGCCGCTACCCACGGCTGGACCACATGGGTCCGAAATGACCTGTTAGCCTCCCAACCACGGGCTGTTTCAGGTTCAGCACCTCGATTCTCCTTAGAGAATCCTACCCGAAAGGATATAATCCTCCCGAACCTACCCGAAAGGATATAAAGCCCAAATGTTAAAACTGTTAATACCATTGAGGCTCCAGGCACTTTTACTTTCTCCCTTGCAGAGTTCTCCAGAATTCAGACTGGAATTGGACTGTAACTCATCCTCCAATGACTCTCTGGCTCAAGTTAATAATAATGGTCTTTAAAGTTAATCCACTAGAACCCAGGATGATCAAAACAACTGCTACAACGCATGGGCACAACGGGTCAGGACACCCTCAATGTTCTGCCAGCAGAACATTGGTAGATGGTAGAATCGGGCCAGAGCGCCCACCTTTCAACCTAGTGAGTCCCCCTGTTGCGTGGGGCACTAAGGTGGCACCTGGTGACAGGCAGGGCGTGCAAGGGGAACACTCAGCTGTGAAGAGCCTTCAGGCGCACGTGGTCCACTCTGCTCCCACTGCCTAACTGCTTTAACGAGCCACCCATAGGTGTGATGACAGTTACCATTTAGAGCATCAGAAAACCTGGAGGCCGGGATTCCCTGCTCACCAGGAAGCCTTAATTCAGGTGTCAATGACAAGACACCTGAAAATATTTAGGGTGCAATTGACACGTGATATTCGTGATAGTCGTTTTTTCTATGTACTTTTCTTATAGTGAAGGGAATGTGACCCATTAATGTGTTCTCTGATGACCTATGAGTCATATCCCCCAAGTCTGGCTGGCTCTAGATTAGCACTGTCCAGCAGAATGTTCTGCGAAGTAGGAAATAATTTTTTATCTCTGATGTCCAATATAGTAACCATGTGCCCACTGAGCTCCAGAAATAAGGACAGTGTGAATAAAAAACCAAATTATTTACTTCCAAGTATAAGCTGTCACATTTGGCCACAACTAACAGTGCAACTCAAGGTGAACTAGCCAGATGCTTTTTCATAATTTCAACAGTGAAGACCATACACAGCAATGTGATGACCCAGAGTGACCCACTTTCACAGCCTTGCTGTAAGTGGTCTACACCATCCCCACCGCAGAAAATTAAACTCAGGATTTGACAGGGAAAAGAGCAAATTCCTCATTTTAAAGCAAGTGACAAACAAATAAAACACCCAAAAATATCCTAAAATATATAATATGCATAGAAATTCAATATATGCTAAAGGTAGCATCATGAATCAGCAAAGAAAAATGGCCAAGTAGTTGGAAAAATTAGCTGTTTCAGTGGGAAAACTGAGTTGTCAGCAAGAGTAAAGATTTTCAAAGCATTTTTAGAACAAAAAAAATCACACATGCCTGCCTTGTAAGGGTATCAGAGTTTGATCCCCGGTACCAAAAACAACTCTCTCTCTTTCTCTCACACACACACGTGCGCGCACACACACACACGTGCACACACACAGACACAGAGGTGTGGTGATTCATGTCTATTATCCCAGCTACTTGGGAGGCTGAGGCAGGAGATCACAAGTTTGAGGCCAGCCTGGTCAACTCAATGAGATTGTCTCAAAATAAAAAACTCAGGCTGCAGGTCAGGGTTCCATGGGTTCAATCTCCAATGCCACCAAAAAACAATAACAAATTCTCAGCACCAAAAATCTCAAAAGAAAGTAGGGTGAGGGTATGTAAAATTATTTGCAACAAGAGACAAAAGATTAATAATCTTAATACATTAAAAACATAAATTATGGTAGTGCTCGCTTCAGCAGCACGTATACACATAAATTACGGTTTTAAAATCATCTAAGAATATGAAAAGAAAAACATGAAAAGCACATTATCTTAATATCAAAAGCATTTATAATAAAAAATTAGGAATGATGTAACCATAGAGGATTTAATTACTAAATTAAATCATGGCTTATTTTTCAGTGGAATACCATGAATTCATTAATATGGGGAGGGAGGGATTGAATCCAGAACCTTTACACTGAACTATATCCCAGGCTTTTTTTACTTTTTTTTTTTTTTTTTGTACCAGGTATTGAATTTGGGTCCTTGCACTTGCAAGGCAGGTGGCAGAACCACTGAGCTAAATCCCCAGTCCCCTTTTTCACTTTTTATCTTGAAAAGCAGAGTCTAGCCAAGTTGTTCAGCTTGGGCTTGAACTTGTGGTTCTCCTATCTCAGCCTTCCAGAGTGCTGGGATTGTAGGCATGTGCCACCTTGTCCAATTTCATTTAATGTTTTTAAGTTTAATAACATGAGAAAATAATATAGTATTAAATAAAACTTTAAATAAAAACGCAGAGTGCTTCTGCCAATGATACCACAATGTTAAATTAAAAATATAGGGCTGAGCCTGCCTCGAAAGCACAAGGTCCCAAGTTTGAGGATCCTGGTACCAAAAAAAAAAAAAAAAAAAAAAAAAAAAAAAAAAAAAAGTGCATATATAATATGTATATATATCAAGCCAGGGATGGTGGCACATGCTAAAAATCCCAGAACTTAGAAGGCTGAGGCAGGAGGATCACTTTGAGTTCAAGGCCAGCCAAGGCAACATAGTAAGTTCAAGGCCAGTATGAGCTACAGAGACTCCATCTCAAAGAATGTAATTCAAATAATTTCTTCCTCTGCTCCTGGAATATCCTTCTCTGCTTCAAGCCATACCTCCCTGATGAGGTACTTTTCTGCCACTGTAATCTACTCTCTACCCTGCCCCTCCTGTATTGCTGGGCTTCTCCAATCCTTGAGATAGAAAACATTTTAAACTGTCTGAACAACTTTTTCTCCAACACTTAGCATCTTTTTCTCTGCTACCCCAGCTCTTTTAGGACATTTACCTTTTTCCAATGCCTACCTCCATCAGTAAAAACCTCTTTTCTACACATGATGAGCAAGTATTTCTTGTTCAAATACTTCTCAAATGAATGTATAAATCCAATTCTATAAAGGAAATCAAATTATTGAGTTCAACTTTAGCTGGATTATAGGAGGCATTTATTTTCTTCCCTAGTCTTTTTCTTCCATATCCAAACGCTTATCGTATAGACTTTGACAATAAAACAAAACTATACTTTCTTCTCCTTTTTACTAGCTGCTAGCTCCATATTCGATACATGCATGCTTGAATAGGGATAATAAAATTCAGTTTAATGACTTCCTTATGTTTTGGAAAATATTTAAGAATTACAATAGATCTGGCCTCAACAAGTAGCTATTTAATAAAAAGTTCTCTTTTCTGGAGCTAAACATTAACATGTTAATACAAAATTAAAACACAGCCGGGCGTGGTGGCACACTCCTATAATCCCAGCACTCGGGAGGCTGAGGCAGAAAGATCACTGTGAGTTTGAGACCAACCTGGGCTATATAGTGAGTTCCAGGTCAGTCTCAACTACATAGTGAGACCCTGT